TACACATCTGACAAAGGTCTAATATCCAGCATCTGTAAGGAATTTAAACAACTTATAAGTCAAAAACAACCCCATTGAAGAGTAGACAAAGAACATGAACAGACACTTCAAACGAAGACAGACATGCGGCCAAAAAGCATATGAAAAAATGCTCAATATCACTAATCATCAGGGAAATGCAAATCAAAACCACAATGAGATACCGTCTTACACCAGTCAAAATGGCTATTATTAAAAAGTCAAAAAATAACAGATGCTGACATGATTGCAGAAAAAGGGGAACACCTATATACTGCTGGTGGGAGTGTAAATTCATTCAAACATTGCTGAAAGCAGTGTGTCAATTCCTCAAAGAACTAAAAGCAGAATTACCATTTAACCCAGCAATCCTACTATGGGATATATACCCAAAGGAATATAAATCATTCTACCATAAGGACACACACATGCCTGCATTCATTGCAGCACTGTTCACAATTGCAAAGACATGCAATCAACTTAAATGCCCATTAATGGTAGACTTCATAAGAAAATGTGGTATATATACTATGTAGCCATGAAAAAAAAAATGAGATCATGTCCTTTGCAGGAACATGGATAGAGCTGGAGGCATTATCCTGAACAAGCCAACACAGGAACAGAAAACTAAGTACTGCTTGTTCTCACCTTCAAATGGGAGCTAAATAATGAGAACACATGGACAAACAAAGGGGAACAACAGACACTGGGGCCAACCTGAGGGTTTAGGGTGGGAAAAGGGAGAGGATCAGGAAAAACAACTGTTGGGTACTAGGCTTGGTACATGGGTGATGAAATAATCTGTACACTATACTCCCATGACATCAGTTGAACTATATGCATACATATACTTTTGAACCTAAAATAAAAGTTAAAACAAAAACAAGAAAAAAGTAGATATGGGAAACTATAGAACCTGAGATTACTATAAATCCAAGGTAAAATTCTAAAAAAGACTATTCTAGATAGTTTATGTACCAATACAAGAGACACCATCACTAGGAGGCTGTCTAGTTAAGTAAGAATAAGTAAAGATTAGTTAAGTAAGGATAAGCCTTACTTAAGTAGGCTTAAGATTAAGTAAGGATAAGTCTTACTTAACTAATCATTACTTCCTTTCTTAATCAGGTTACTAGAAGAGAAAATCTGGAAAAATTGGTGATGTGTCTTGATTTTGCCCAACATTCTGCCAAACTCTCAGGATCTCCTATAGACCAGCTAGAGAAATAAGAGTTAGGTAATATCCCATTAAATATGTTTCCAGATAGCTTGAATCAAATCTCAGATAACTTGAATTAAGCTGGTGTAGACCTATCAGCTGACAAGACTTTACAAACTTATAAATGACACAACACATCAGGTGACTTAACCAAGATTCATAAAGATTTTGGGGAGGTCATTGTGGGACATACCAAGAAGATGACTTTAAAATAAATTTAAAATTAAAATCATCCCCTTAGGGATTTATATATGTATGTATGGGTTAGTTGAAAATAGTTTATTGGGGGAAAGGCTTAGTTAGGAATGTCAAATGATCAAATGCTTGATATAAACCAAATGTGCATGGTATTCTTTCACTCATTTATTCAAAAATACTATATACCAGCTGTAAAAGCATGTTCTGTCTTGCTTTGCATGTAGTATAGAATCCAAACCTAGGGCAGTAATGGTGCTGCAGATGCCAGGGTGATGAGACAACAGTGGATATTGCATTTAGTTTTATAAGACATCCTGGAGAAGATAATTAACCATCCAGATGAGGCCACCAGTTTCAGGGTGGCCCAACAGTTAAGAAAGGGTGTGAAAAGGAGGATGACAATCTGTCGAGGCTGATCATCTCGAAGGATAGAAGACTACATGGAGATGTGAAAAATGTCTTTAAATTTCTTAAAGGCTATTGTCTGGAAGCTTTCATTGACTGCTGCTCAGTTCCTTAGGCAGCAGAAGTTATAACATCAATTGCTATGAGTTATAGGAAATTGGGTTTCTGCTAATATCATACACTTTGTCAGCTCCTTTACCAGACAGTAGGTATACAGAGATGAGCAGAACAAGATCCCCTTCCTCACAGTTGATCCATAAATTCATATTCTGCATAGAGAAGTAGCTTCAGACATAATGGCTCTTCCAACAGTGAGATTCACTAGGAAACTGGATGTCTTTTAACATCCTGAGCTTCCATCTCTGGAACACAAAAGAAAAGACATTTCAGGTACTGTTTGAGGGACTGAGATGGGGCTAATGGTATTTGTGCCTAGCTGTGGTGTTCTGGTAGCTGCCAAGAACTAGGACTCCTATTTACCAGGACAAGCAAAGGGCTAGTCCAAGGAATGTCTGAGCTGTGTTCCTGGAGGAAGGCAAAGAATTCAAGCCCAAAAAGTGGCCCTGAGTATCAGGTACACAAAAGACACAGACTATCAACAGGAGAGCAATTCTAGAGTCCAAAGAAGAGAAGAGAAAGCATAGCCAGGATTCATGGTGTGAGCCTGGGGAAAGCCATCAGTTGGGAACAGCCTGGGAATGCCAGCCAGTTGGTGGCTTGTTGGGAGCTCTCTGTGACCAAGCAGGCTTTGGCTTGGATCAGATGGCCCTGGAAAAGACACTGTCAGGGATGTTAGAGATGGGGCTTGTGATGGATGTCTCCCATTTGCCTCTCTAAGCTCTGCTCACCAGTCTTCTGTACCCTGTGTGATCTACGAAGTTGACCTACGTCACTTGCATCTATGGAATCCTCACCCTCTGGATCCAGTTTGGTTTAGATAACAGCTAGAGCAGTGGTTTGGAGTCCTTGAAGAGGTCCTTCACATCCCTTGTTAGCTGAGAACAGCTAGAGATTAAAGAGGGGGGAAGAGAGAGGAGTTAGGATCCCCCTGCCCCCTGCTTGCCTCGCTGTGGGGTCACCTTGGGATTGCTGTTTTTCTTAGCTGAGGGTCATAGCTCCGCTTAAAGTGTCCCTGTTTACATAGTTTTTTTCTTCCAGGATCCAGCAGCCACTCCCTGCCCTCTACCCTCTAAGCCTAGAAGGTAGTAACAGCTCCAGAGTTACCAGCTCCAGGGTACTGCACTATCTCTTAGGGGCTTCCTACATCGTGTCCATCTTACTTAAATGCTTCTTAGATTATACTAATGTAAATGTGTCTTCTGTTTCTTGGTTGAACCCTGGCTGATACAGGATTCTGGATTGAGTAAGAAGATGGACTAGATTATTTCTAAGAATTCTTATGCTTCTAGAGCTCTGGATTTCTTGTCACTGATCTTAGATTTTTGCATACCTGAGTGATGAGGATTAAATTTCCACACCCAAAAACTCACAGCAAATATTTCTGTAGCACTTATGAAGTTCATCTAGAGATTTGTGACTTGGCTTAACCACATATACATGTTATTATTTTTTAAAGAATTTGTGTTTTCAGTATGAATTGCTGATCATAGTCTCAGTTGCTCACACTCTGTCTGTAGGGTCAGGTAACATCTTTATTGGTGTCATGTAAAAGAGCCAAAGGGTACTTAAACTGGCCAAGCAACTACTGTTCAGACTTCAGAAATTTCATAAAACAGCTGAAGTTAGTCTTAAATACCTTTCATAAATAAGTTGCTCAGCCACACTGTGATGCTTCCTGGGAAGACCGAGTAGTTAAGCCTCCTCATAATGATGCTGTTCGAAGGCTATCCAGAACCTCAAGAAAAGAATGAGGAGACCGCAGGCCTGCATGACTGTGGAGCACATGACTTCTGAGTCTGATAAGCCATGGAAGGCAAATTGTCATCTGGCGTGAAGTTCATTGCTATTTGACTCAGAATAAGAGGGTTTTGTTTTTACTCGGTTTGGTTTTGAGGCTGTCTTACTTCTAAGGAGTCATTACCTTTTGGAGATACACAGTGAGACGTTTGTGAATGAAATGATATGACAGGTCTGCTTTGCAGTGATACAGAGAGGGCGAAGAATAGGTGGGAGCCATCACAATATGATTCACAGTGAGTGGATAACTACTGAAACTGGGTGGTGGACATGTGAGGTTCATTAGACTATGCTCTCTATTTTTGTGTGATTTGGGGATTATTGAATATTAAGAGTTGTGTGAATAAACAGTTAAATAAAAAGTGACTTCTTCCTAAAGGGAAACTCATTTATTGTTGCTTTGTGCCCATGATGTGATGCAGAAGCTCTGTATGTAGGTTTCAGAAACATAACAAGAAAAAACATATTGAAACAAAATATAAATGAGGAATGCTATTTTTTTGTGTGAAAGTTTACCCAAACCATGCTCAATGGAAAATATCAAGATGTTATTATTCAGAATGTACATTTAGAGTATCTTTCATGTGGACTTTGCTGTATGGACTTTGCTTCTAAATAACTTGGGGTAAAGGAGAACCAGGTAAGTTACAGATGAAATAAAATTGGTTGTGAGTTAACATTTCTTCAGTTTTGGGAGAAGAGACATGGGAGTTTATTATACTATTTGTTCTACTTTTGTATATGCTTTAAATTTTCCATAGAATTATTTTAAAAAATTAAACCTAGACTGGGTATGGTGGCTCATGCCTGCAATCTCAGCACTTTGGGAGGCCAACGTGGGCAGATCATGAGGTCAAGAGATCGATACCATCCTCGCCAACATGGTGAAACCTCGTGTCTCCTAAAAATACAAAAATTAGCTGGGCATTGTGTGTGTGCCCAGCTATTTGGGAGGCTGAAGCAGGATGGCTTGAATCCATGTGGCGGAGGTTGCAGTGAGCAGAGGCTACAGTGAGCAGAGATTGTACCACTGCACTCCAGCCTGGCAACAGAGCAAGACTCTGTCTCAAAAAAATAAAAAATAAATAAAAACTATACTGCACATCCAAAACATGGCCACTTTATATTAAGAAAGTATAAACTTTCAGGATTTTATGAAATGTAATGTTATATTATTTTCTCTTTCACCTCCTTGTATTCTGTGTTTTCCAATCCATTTCTTTTCTCTTCCCCCACCCTATAGTTTTGTCTGTTGTATGGAACCAAGCTGGTGTTTCAGGAGTGGGCCTGGTATTTAGAACATAAATACTTGACTTCTGTGGCCAGCATGAGGATCAGGAATCAGGTAAGGACCCTGGGGTACAGAAAAACCCTTTGTACATTAGCTCTGGGCTCTGCTTTCTTAGAAAACAGTCAGTCCTGCCAATCTTCTATCAGTTTCCACTCATGGATTTTTATGCCTCTGGGGCTTCACCTGTATGTTTTCATTACCTATCTTGATCGTATTACACTTCAGAGTTTAGGTGACAAATGACTCACTGTACATGAGCTTTCTAACGTGAAAAGGAGAGGAAGGTGTCAAAGTGTTTTCCTTGTCTTGGCAAAAAAAAAGTATTAATGATTTTTTTTCTGCTTCTTACCAAAGCCTATTAACGCATTCTTCATATTAAGAAGAAAGAGCCATGATACTTTTATGTCAGTGGTAGCCATGGGGAATTCAGTACAATAGCTACAGAGCACCTGAAAAAGGTGAGGCCAGTATTCACCACTAAACTGCTACTCCAAAGAAAAAGAATGTGAAACAGCATACTCATCAGTAAAACACATTTCTGATTACATCCTTTCTGCAGGAGAGGTGCTGAAACACAAACAAGTATAAGACAAAGTCTCCACATAAAGGGAGCTCATATCCAAGGACACAAAACCAACTTTAAAAACATAAATACTGGCCTGGCGCAGTGGCTTGCGCCTGTAATCCTACTGCTTGGGGAGGCTGAAGTGGGTAGGTCTCCTGAGCTCAGGAGTTTGACACCACCCTGGGCACCTTGTCTCTACTAAAATACAAAAAAATTAGCAGGGCTTGGTGGCACGTGCCTCTAGTCCCAGCTACTCCAGAGGCTGAGGCATGAGAATCACTTAAGCCCCAGAGGTGGAGGTTGCAGTGAGCTGAAATCACGCCACTGCACTCCAGCTTGGGCTACAGAGTAAGACTCTGTCAAAAAAAACAAAAACAAAAACAAAAAAACTCTCACAGGGTCATGGAGGTTTTTGAATGAACTTGGTCATAAGAATAAATTCAGAGTTGACAGAACAGATGTCTTAAGAATGAATGCCATTCTTATGCTAGACATTGAAGAGTAGAAAATTAAGACAAAGTAGAGGTGGCAGTCTGATTGAGAGGGGAAAATGCAGTTAAAACTTCAGTGTTGATAAAGTGAGCACAATCATAGAAATGGAGTACTTAGACATATTAAGAAACAATAAAGACTTTACCTGTCTAATGGAAAACCTGGAGAAGTCTCTGGGAACCAGACTACAGTGGACCCTGGAGAAACTTGAAGAATCTTTTTCCTTTTCAGGAAAATAGAGATTATAGAGAAAAGTATATGTAATGATGCTTCAGTAATGTATTTCTGTATAACAAATGACTGCAAACTTATGACTTACAACAACCACCACTTATTATTTGTCTTGGTCCATTTTTTGCTGCTGTAACAGAATACCACAGTCTGGGTAATTTATAACGAAGAGTCATGTATTGCTTACAGTTCTGGAAGATGGAAAGTCTAAGGTCAAGGGGCCCACATCTGGCAAGGGCCTACGTGTAGCCCCATCCCATGGAAGGGAAGGGCAAGAGAGGGCAAAAGCAAGAGAGAAGGAAGGGAGGGGTTGAAATTATTCTTCTATTAGGAACCCACTCCTGAGATAACAGCATTAATCCATTCATAAGGGCAGAGCCTTCATGGCCTATTTGCCTTTTAAAGGTCATACCTCTCATCACTGTTGCATTGGGAATTAAGTTTTCAACACATAAACTTTGGGGGACACATTCAAGCCACAGCGTCATTTCTCATGATTTTGCATTCTAGACAGAGTTCAGCTATTAATAGCTATTAACAGCTATTCTTCTGCTCCATGTGGTGTCTGCTGGGGCTAATTGTTCACAATGCCTTCTTTACTCATGGCTGGCACCTCAGCTAGGATGACATGAAACTCAGCCAGGATGACAGGAACAGATGGGCAATTGTCTCCTTCCAGGTAGCCTAGTTTGGGCTTTTGCACAGTAGACTAGTCTCAGGATGGTCGAATGTTTCATTTGATGGCTTCCAGGAAAGAGAAAGTGGAAGATGCCAGTCTTCTTAAAGGACAGGCCCAGAACTAACATAGTGTTACTTCTGCTGAATTCTGTCAGTCGGAGGAAGTCACAATGCCAGCACAGATTCAGAGCTGGAGGAGAGACTTTGCTTCTGGATGCATGCATATGCTGAGAAGGGAAGAATTGATGGCAGCTATTGTTGGAGACTATTCCCACAAAGAGAGTGCCTACTTTGGGAAGATAGAAGAATACTTTTTATTTAGAGAAAAAAAAAATCTACATAAGGGAAAATTTTAAATCTGTGCCACCAGGTATTTCAGAGACACAGAATTAGATAAACAGTACATCAGAGGAATATTTAGTGGAGGAAATAAACTTTCATATAAAACATTGAAGTGCTTTTGTATTTTTTTTTTTTTGAGATGGAGTTTCGCTCTTGTTACCCAGGCTGGAGTGCAATGGCGCGATCTCGGCTCACCGCAACCTCTGCCTCCTGGGTTCAGGCAATTCTCCTGCCTCAGCCTCCTGAGTAGCTGGGATTACAGGCATGTGCCACTATGCCCAGCTAATTTTTTGTATTTTTTTAGTAGAGATGGGGTTTCACTACGTTGACTAAGATGGTCTCGATCTCTTGACCTCGTGATCCACCCTCCTTGGCTTCCCAAAGTGCTGGGATTACAGGCTTGAGTCACTGCGCCTGGCATTTTTTTTTTTTTTTTTTTTTTGAGATTCAGTCTTGCTCTGCCACTCAGGCTAGAGTGCAGTGGCATGATCTCAATTCAGTGCAACCTCGGCCTCCCAAGCTCAAGTGATTCTCTTGCCTCAGCTTCCTGAGTAGCTGGGATTACAGGCACCTACCACCACACCTGGCTAATTTTTGTATTTTTAGTATAGACAGGGTTTCACCATGTTGGCCAGGCTGGTCTTGAACTCCTGACCTCAGGTGATCCACCTGCTTCAGCCTCCCAAAGTGCTGGGATTACAGGCATGAGCCGCCACACCAGCCTGCTTTTATGTTCTTACAGTGCAACATGCTTTCCACACTTCTCACTTACTGGATCCTCTTAAAAGCCTGGGGGATAAGCAGGCAGGAGCCAGCCACTTTGGAACAAGCTTTCTCTGTAGGGCTGTAGGACATCTGAAAGCCTTTTTTTGTCACATCGCTGATCTGCCAACCTTGAGCATCATCCCCTTTGTGGGTGTCCCCAAAGGAGAGAGGATAGTGTTCAGGGAAAATGCAATTTTCTTGTTTATTTCTCTGGGTTCCCACATACATTTTGGCTTTATTGTTTTGTCAGATCATTGATGCTTTGAAGATATTTCCTGTATTTTCTTCAAATATTTTGGTTGTTTTCTGCAGAAAAGTTAGAAAAAAAAATCTAGCCCTCTATTTTCAGAAATAGAAATTTCCTTACATGTTATTCTACATGACCCCACAACAACCTGGTGAATAATTTTCATTACTCTTACACGTGGATGAGAAAACTGAGGCCCAAAGTTGGCCAAGTAATTCACTCAAAGTAACACAGCTATTAAAAACTCCTATCTCTCTGACTGCAAACACGTTCATTTATTTTATTTGGATAAAAATCAGCATCAGAACAACCATATCCAGCACCCAGTTCTTGGCTTCTGGCACCATCCTCCAATAAAAGGAACAGGGCCCTTAGAGAAATGGCTGATTTTAGGGCTGGGCAGTGAATATACAAGATAAGCCTGGAGCATCTTCTAATGTCAGAAAGTAAGAAAGCGTTTGGAAAACAAACAAAAGCCTGCGATGATGGCAGCATGTTCACGGGACACAGGAAGGAGCCAAGTGAAAAGAGCTCTCTCCCAGTGGCCAAGGTTGGAACAATTTGAGCAACAAAATAATGTAATATTGGGGGTTATAACTCCAAGCATGTAGTAATTAAGCTTAAGTCCATAATGATATGAATAAATGATTAAACAAATAAATAAATGGGGAAAAGACAAGTCTTCCTTGTAGAAGAATCCCAAATAAAATGTGTAGCTACTTCTCCCTCCACGAAGTAAAGCTTAATTCCCCTTCTCTTTAGTGTGGGTCGGACTTTAGTAACTTGCTTTTATTTTAAAGACTAGATTATGGAAAAAAGAAATCCTTATTTTACAATGAAGAAACCTGGTAGATCCTACCCTAACCATGTGACGAAGGTACATATCACCTGTGATACATCATGTTGATAGCATGTACTCTGGTATGATATGAGGAAAAGAACACTTCCCTCTTTCCTGAAGCCCATAACCCAAACCTAATCAAGAAAAAACACATCAGACAAAACTAAATGGAGGAATGATCTACAATTCAAAGGTGTCCAATCTTTTGGCTTCCTTGCCTGGGCCACATTGGAAGAGGAAGAATTATCTTGGGCCACACATAAAATACACTAACACTAATGACAGCTGATGAGCTAAAAATAAAAATCACAAAAACATTTCATAATGTTTTAAAACAGTTTATGAATTTGTGTTGGGCCATATTCAAAGCCATCCTGAGCCTCATGAGGCCCACTGGGCTGTGGATTTGCCAAGCTTGTCCATAATAGCTGCCTTGTACCCATCAAAACTGATGATGCAGGAAAGATGAGAAAAGCTGAAACCATCAAAGAGCAGGAGACATGATGACTAAATACAATGAAGTATCCTATTTTGAGTCCTGGGACAGAAGAACATGAGTAGAAAAACCAGTAAAATCTGAATAAAGTCTGTAGTTTAGTTATTAGTAATACATTAATATTGGTTTCCTAGTTTTTATAATGAGCCATAGTTATGCAGAAACTGGGTGAAGGACATATGAGAACTCTTGTTATCTTTGAAACTTTTCTATAAATCTGAAAGTATTCCCAAATAAAAAGTTTACTAAAAAAAAAAAAAATCAACATAAGGAGATAGCAGTCACCCCAAACTATTTCTAAATAAATAAAACTTTCCAGAACACCCAGGACTTACACTGATGCTCCAGTCTAATGAAAATTACAAATTGCATGTTACACATATTTAAAAATGATCTT